ATATTAGTGCAGAACACTGTACCTTTAATTTAAATGCCCTTGGAGTCTGCTGGGGAAGAGAAATAATACTGTCAGTCAGTATGACATGCAGATGAGTGCCGTCGATCTTAGAATCACCGCACACTTCACTCATTTGGGCAGTCACGGGGCCAAAACCAGAGTGTGGAGCCACAGTGTGGCGGTGGAGGCAGCAGCAATGGGAGGCCGTACAGGGACCCATGAGACACTCTGGACCTGGCAGCAGCATTAGGAGGCGGTACAGGGGCCCATGGCAGATTACGGGCCTGGCAGCAGCAATGGGAGGCCCGTAATCTGCCAGCACCCTATGACAAAATGGAACACACCAGCAGTGTGAGGAGACCTGAAAGTGGCACATGGCAGAGTGTGGCGATGGAGACAGCAGCAATGGGAGGCCGTACAGGGACCCATGAGACACTCTGGACCTGGCAGCAGCATGAGGAGGCGGTACAGGGGCCCCATGGCAGATTACGGGCCTGGCAGCAGCAATGGGAGGCCCGTAATCTGCCAGCACCCTATGACAAAATGGACAGCACCAGCAGTGTGAGGAGACCTGAAAGTGGCACATGGCAGAGTGTGGCGATGGAGACAGCAGCAATGGGAGGCCGTACAGGGACCCATGAGAGACTCTGGACCTGGCAGCAGCATGAGGAGGCGGTACAGGGGCCCATGGCAGATTACGGGCCTGGCAGCAGCAATGGGAGGCCCGTATTCTGCCAGCACCCTATGACAAAATGGAACACACCAGCAGTGTGAGGAGACCTGAAAGTGGCACATGGCAGAGTGTGGCGATGGAGACAGCAGCAATGGGAGGCCGTACAGGGACCCATGAGAGACTCTGGACCTGGCAGCAGCATGAGGAGGCGGTACAGGGGCCCATGGCAGATTACGGGCCTGGCAGCAGCAATGGGAGGCCCGTAATCTGCCAGCACCCTATGACAAAAAATGGAACACACCAGCAGTGTGAGGAGACCTGAAAGTGGCACATGGCAGAGTGTGGCGATGGAGACAGCAGCAATGGGAGGCCGTACAGGGACCCATGAGAGACTCTGGACCTGGCAGCAGCATGAGGAGGCGGTACAGGGGCCCATGGCAGATTACGGGCCTGGCAGCAGCAATGGGAGGCCCGTAATCTGCCAGCACCCTATGACAAAATGGAACCCACCAGCAGTGTGAGGAGACCTGAAAGTGGCACATGGCAGGGGGCATGATTCATGGCGGATTTAGTCAGTTGTGTCAGGAACTGGTGGTTTGAAATCCAGACTAATCCACGCCTGATTCATTTTCACAAACGTGAGTCTCTCCACACTTTGGGTGGACAGTCGTGTCCTCCGCGGAGTTACAATACCTCCTGCCCGCACTAAACACGCGCTCCGATGCCACGCTACTGGCCGGGCATGACAAGCCTTTTCAAGGGCAAATTCAGCTAGTTGGGGCCAAAGGTCAAGTTTCGTTGCCCAGTAGTCAAGGGGATTGTCTACCTCTGGTGTCTGGCTCGGTGCTGTCCAAGTAGGCCCAAGCCTGTTGTTTGAGGTCCTGCTCCAGGTCCACCTGATGCTGCTGCTGCTGCTGCTGCGGCTGGTTAGTAGTTTCCTCACTGCGCTGCTGGTGAAGAAAGCTACTCATCATCGACTGCAGACTGAGGCAGTAGCAGCTGCTGCTGGTGGAGCTGCCACTGCTCCTACCACCCCCTGCCACCCCCCCCTGCTGCCATGGCAGCGGAACGCGAGCGCACAGGGCCCACAGTGTCTGAGGATGGACGTTGGCGCAGAAAGGCAGAGACCAACTGACTACATAGGTGGTTTTTATAGTACGTTATTTTGGCCTCCCTCTCAGCAGGTGTGAAAAAGGCCACCATTTTTGGAACCTGAACGGTAGCGAGGGGGTCCCAACAAGGTGGACAGCCAAAAGTCATCCCTCTGTCTGATGGTTATTATTCGGGCCCGTGTCGCTACGCAAGCATGACCGAGCATGCTATGGGCCCATTTGTGCCAAGGAATGCGAGGGACTCCTCCTCCCTGCCTCCATCTCCACAGCATACTGCCACGGTGCGTCTGGGTCCTCTGTCCCTCCTCCTCCTGTCTACCAGATGCTCCTGCTCCTCCACTCCTGTCCGCTGAGTGGAAAAAACCACCCATTTCACTCAATAATTCCTGAGCACCAATGTCCTCCTCTACTCCTCCTCTTCTTCCTGTCCGTCCCCACAGGGGTCATGTGGCGTTGAGATCTGTGCGCCACGTCTACCGCACCCCTGACCAGCCATTGTTAACAGCATTTGTTCCAGGACGTGCAACAGAGGAATGACGTCGTTCATCCCATAGTCCTGCCGACTCACGAATAGCGTGGCCTCCTCAAAGGGCCTCTGAGCAAGCGGCAGGTGTCACGCATGAGCTGCCAATGGCTGACATCTAAGTTACACAGGGGAGTACCTTTATCCGCTTGTAACATCAGGAAATCTGTGATGGCCTTTCGCTGTTCGTAAAGGCGGTCTAACATATGTAGGGTTGAATTCCACCTTGTTGCAAGTTGCAAAGTCACAGCATGAGGAGTCGGTACGGGGGCCCATGGCAGATTACGGGCCTGGCAGCAGCAATGGGAGGCCCGTAATCTGCCAGCACCCTATGAAAAAATGGAACACACCAGCAGTGTGAGGAGACCTGAAAGTGGCACATGGCAGAGTGTGGCGATGGAGACAGCAGCAATGGGAGGCCCGTACAGGGACCCATGAGAGACTACTGGACCTGGCAGCAGCATGAGGAGGGTGAGGATGGTACAGGGGCCCATGGCAGATTACGGGCCTGGCAGCAGCAATGGGAGGCCCGTAATCTGCCAGCACCCTATGACAAAAAATGGAAACACACCAGCAGTGTGAGGAGACCTGAAAGTGGCACATGGCAGAGTGTGGGCGATGGAGACAGCAGCAATGGGAGGCCGTACAGGGACCCATGAGAGACTCTGGACCTGGCAGCAGCATGAGGAGGCGGGTACAGGGGCCCATGGCAGATTACGGGCCTGGCAGCAGCAATGGGAGGCCCGTAATCTGCCCAGCACCCTATGACAAAATGGAACACACCAGCAGCAGTGTGAGGAGACCTGAAAGTGGCACATGGCAGAGTGTGGCGATGGAGACAGCAGCAAAGGGAGGCCGTACAGGGACCCATGAGACACTCTGGACCTGGCAGCAGCATGAGGAGGAGGTACAGGGGCCCATGGCAGATTACGGGCCTGGCAGCAGCAATGGGAGGCCCGTAATCTGCCAGCACCCTATGACAAAAATGGAACACACCAGCAGTGTGAGGAGACCTGAAAGTGGCACATGGCAGAGTGTGGCGATGGAGACAGCAGCAATGGGAGGCCCGTACAGGGACCCATGAGAGACTCTGGACCTGGCAGCAGCATGAGGAGGCGGTATAGGGGCCCATGGCAGATTACGGGGCCTGGCCTGGCAGCAGCAATGGGAGGCCCGTAATCTGCCAGCACCCTATGACAAAAAATGGAACACACCAGCAGTGTGAGGAGACCTGAAAGTGGCACATGGCAGAGTGTGTGGCGATGGAGACAGCAGCAATGGGAGGCCGTACAGGGACCCATGAGAGACTCTGGACCTGCTGGCAGCAGCATGAGGAGGCGGTACAGGGGCCCATGGCAGATTACGGGCCTGGCAGCAGCAATGGGAGGCCCGTAATCTGCCAGCACCCTATGACAAAAAATGGACACACACCAGCAGTGTGAGGAGACCTGAAAGTGGCACATGGCAGAGTGTGGCGATGGAGACAGCAGCAATGGGAGGCCGTACAGGGACCCATGAGAGACTCTGGACCTGGCAGCAGCATGAGGAGGCGGTACAGGGGCCCATGGCAGATTACAGGCCTGGCAGCAGCAATGGGAGGCCCGTAATCTGCCAGCACCCTATGACAAAAAAATGGAACACACCAGCAGTGTGAGGAGACCTGAAAGTGGCACATGGCAGAGTGTGGCGATGGAGACAGCAGCAATGGGAGGCCGTACAGGGACCCATGAGACACTCTGGACCTGGCAGCAGCATGAGGAGGAGGGTACAGGGGCCCATGGCAGATTAACGGGCCTGGCAGCAGCAATGGGAGGCCCGTAATCTGCCAGCACCCTATGACAAAAAATGGAACACACCAGCAGTGTGAGGAGACCTGAAAGTGGCACATGGCAGAGTGTGGCGATGGAGACAGCAGCAATGGGAGGCCGTACAGGGACCCATGAGACACTCTGGACCCTGGCAGCAGCATGAGGAGGCGGTATAGGGGCCCATGGCAGATTACGGGCCTGGCAGCAGCAATGGGAGGCCCGTAATCTGCCAGCACCCTATGACAAAAAATGGAACACCACCAGCAGTGTGAGGAGACTGAAAGTGGCACATGGCAGAGTGTGGCGATGGAGACAGCAGCAATGGGAGGCCGTACAGGGACCCATGAGAGACTCTGGACCTGGCAGCAGCATGAGGAGGCGGTACAGGGGCCCATGGCAGATTAGGGGCCTGGCAGCAGCAATGGGAGGCCCGTAATCTGCCAGCACCCTATGACAAAAAATGGAACACACCAGCAGTGTGAGGAGACCTGAAAGTGGCACATGGCAGAGTGTGGCGATGGAGACAGCAGCAATGGGAGGCCGTACAGGGACCCATGAGAGACTCTGGACCTGGCAGCAGCATGAGGAGGCGGTACAGGGGCCCATGGCAGATTACGGGCCTGGCAGCAGCAATGGGAGGCCCGTAATCTGCCAGCACCCTATGACAAAAAAATGGAACACACCAGCAGTGTGAGGAGACCTGAAAGTGGCACATGGCAGAGTGTGGCGATGGCGATGGAGACAGCAGCAATGGGAGGCCGTACAGGGACCCATGAGAGACTCTGGACCTGGCAGCAGCAGCATGAGGAGGCGGTACAGGGGCCCATGGCAGATTACGGGCCTGGCAGCAGCAATGGGAGGCCCGTAATCTGCCAGCACCCTATGACAAAATGGAACACACCAGCAGTGTGAGGAGACCTGAAAGTGGCACATGGCAGAGTGTGGCGATGGAGACAGCAGCAATGGGAGGCCGTACAGGGACCCATGAGACACTCTGGACCTGGCAGCAGCATGAGGAGGCGGCGGTACAGGGGCCCATGGCAGATTACGGGCCTGGCAGCAGCAATGGGAGGCCCGTAATCTGCCAGCACCCTATGACAACAAAATGGAACACACCAGCAGTGTGAGGAGACCTGAAAGTGGCACATGGCAGAGTGTGGCGATGGAGACAGCAGCAGCAATGGGAGGCCGTACAGGGACCCATGAGAGACTCTGGACCTGGCAGCAGCATGAGGAGGCGGTACAGGGGCCCATGGCAGATTACGGGCCTGGCAGCAGCAATGGGAGGCCCGTAATCTGCCAGCACCCTATGACAAAATGGAACACACCAGCAGTGTGAGGAGACCTGAAAAGTGGCACATGGCAGAGTGTGGCGATGGAGACAGCAGCAATGGGAGGCCGTACAGGGACCCATGAGAGACACTCTGGACCTGGCAGCAGCATGAGGAGGCGGTACAGGGGGCCCATGGCAGATTACGGGCCTGGCAGCAGCAATGGGAGGCCCGTAATCTGCCAGCACCCTATGACAAAAAAATGGAACACACCAGCAGTGTGAGGAGACCTGAAAGTGGCACATGGCAGAGTGTGGCGATGGAGACAGCAGCAATGGGAGGCCGTACAGGGACCCATGAGAGACTCTGGACCTGGCAGCAGCATGAGGAGGCGGTACAGGGGCCCATGGCAGATTACGGGCCTGGCAGCAGCAATGGGAGGCCCGTAATCTGCCAGCACCCTATGACAAAAAATGGAACACACACAGCAGTGTGTGAGGAGACCTGAAAGTGGCACATGGCAGAGTGTGGCGATGGAGACAGCAGCAATGGGAGGGCGTACAGGGGACCCATGAGAGACTCACTCTCGGACCTGGGCAGCAGCATGAGGAGGCGGTACAGGGGCCCATGGCAGATTACGGGCCTGGCAGCAGCAATGGGAGGCCCGTAATCTGCCAGCACCCTATGACAAAAATGGAACACACCAGCAGTGTGAGGAGACCTGAAAGTGGCACATGGCAGAGTGTGGCGATGGAGACAGCAGCAATGGGAGGCCGTACAGGGACCCATGAGAGACTCTGGACCTGGCAGCAGCAGCATGAGGAGGCGGTACAGGGGCCCATGGCAGATTACGGGCCTGGCAGCAGCATATGGGAGGCCCGTAATCTGCCAGCACCCTATGACAAAAATGGAACACACCAGCAGTGTGAGGAGACCTGAAAGTGGCACATGGCAGAGTGTGGCGATGGAGACAGCAGCAGCAATGGGAGGCCGTACAGGGACCCATGAGAGACTCTGGACCTGGCAGCAGCATGAGGAGGCGGTTACAGGGGCCCGGCAGATTACGGGCCTGGCAGCAGCAATGGGAGGCCCGTAATCTGCCAGCACCCTATGACAAAAAAATGGAACACACCAGCAGTGTGAGGAGACCTGAAAGTGGCACATGGCAGAGTGTGGCGATGGAGACAGCAGCAATGGGAGGCCGTACAGGGATGGAGACAGCAGCAATGGGAGGCCGTACAGGGACCCATGAGAGACTCTGGACCTGGCAGCAGCATGAGGAGGCGGTATACAGGGGCCCATGGCAGATTAGGGGCCTGGGCAGCAGCAATGGGAGGCCCGTAATCTGCCAGCACCCTATGACAAAAAATGGAAACACACCAGCAGTGTGAGGAGACCTGAAAGTGGCACATGGCATGCAGAGTGTGGCGATGGAGACAGCAGCAGCAATGGGAGGCCGTACAGGGACCCATGAGAGACTCTGGACCTGGCAGCAGCAGCATGAGAGGCGGTATAGGGGCCCATGGCAGATTAGGGGCCTGGCAGAGCTATGGGAGGCCCGTAATCTGCCAGCACCCTATGACAAAAAAATGGAACACACCAGCAGTGTGAGGAGACCTGAAAGTGGCACATGTTTGGGGCATGATTCATGGCGGATTTAGTCAGTTGTGTCAGGAACTGGTGGTTTGAAATCCAGACTAATCCACGCCTGATTCATTTTCACAAACGTGAGTCTCTCCACACTTTGGGTGGACAGTCGTGTCCTCCGCGGAGTTACAATACCTCCTGCCGCACTAAACACGCGCTCCGATGCCACGCTACTGGGCCGGGCATGACAGCCTTTCAAGGGCAAATTCAGCTAGTTGGGGCCAAAGGTCAAGTTTCGTTGCCCAGTAGTCAAGGGGATTGTCTACCTCGGTTGGCAGGGTGCTGTCCAAGTAGGCCCAAGCCTGTTGTTTGAGGTCCTGCTCCAGGTCCACCTGATGCTGCTGCTGCTGCGGCTGGTTAGTAGTAGTTTCCTCACTGCGCTGGTGAAGAAAGCTACTCATCATCGACTGCAGACTGAGGCAGCCGCTGCTGGTGGAGCTGCCACTGCTCTCCTACCACCCCACCCCTCCCCTGCTGCCATGGCAGCGGAACGCGAGCGCGCACAGGGCCCACAGTGTCTGAGGATGGACGTTGGCGCAGAAAGGCAGAGACCAACTGACTACATAGGTGGTTTTTATAGTACGTTATTTTGGCCTCCCTCTCAGCAGGTGTGAAAAAGGCCACCATTTTTGAACGGTAGCGAGGGTCCAACAAGGTGGACAGCCAAAAGTCATCCCTCTGTCTGATGGTTATTATTCGGCTGTCGCTACGCAAGCAACCGAGCATGCTATGGGCCATTTGTGCCAAGGAATGCGAGGGACTCCCTGCCTCCATCTCCACAGCATACTGCCACGACGGTGCGCTGGGTCCTCTGTCTCCTCTCCTCTCCTCACTCTCCTCTACCAGATGCTCCTGCTCCTCCACTCCTGTCCGTGCTGAGTGGAAAAAACCACCCATTTCACTCAATAATTCCTGAGCACAAATGTCCTCCTCTACCTCCTCCTCTTCTTCCTGTCCTGCCCCCACAGGGGTCATGTGGCGTTGAGATCTGTGCGCCACGTCTACCGCACCCTGACCAGCCATTGTTAACAGCATTTTTTCCAGGACGTGCAACAGAGGAATGACGTCGTTCATCCCATAGTCCTGCCGACTCACGAATAGCGTGGCCTCCTCAAAGGGGCTCTGAGCAAGCGGCAGGTGTCACGCATGAGCTGCCAATGGCTGACATCGAAAGTTACACAGGGGAGTACCTTTATCCGCTTGTAACATCAGGAAATCGGTGATGGCCTTTCGCTGTTCGTAAAGGCGGTCTAACATGTGTAGGGTTGAATTCCACCTTGTTGCAACGTCGCAGATCAGGCGATGCTGTGGAATTCCGTTCTGCCGCTGCAGCTCAAGGAGGGGTGTGCTTTGCGGTGTAGGAATGGCTGAAATGCATGCAAAGTTTACGTGACATTTTAAGGATGTCTTGCAGTGGGATGGTGGATTTTAGGAACCGCTTGACAACCAGATTGAACACGTGAGCCATGCATGGCGCATGGCACAACCTTCCTTGACGCAGAGCAGACACCATGTTCTTTCCGTTGTCGGTCAACATGGTTCCGATTTTCAGTTTGCGCGGAGACAGCCATCTGTCGATTTCTCTGTTCATTACACTCTCAGAAGTTCCTCCCCTGTGTGACTACGTTCGCCAAGGCATACCAGGTGCAGCACAGCGTGACACCGTTGCGCCCTGCACATGTGATATGCCGGTCGGGTAATGGGACTTGGCACGGGGGTGGCGGCTGAGGACACGGCGGAAGAAGAGGTGGTAGAGGCGGACATTTTGCTGGACCAAGGACGTGCAAACGTGGAGGCAAAAGCGGCGTGACCTGTCCAAGTTGCTGGTGCGGCTGTGCCGGCACCACGTTCACCCAGTGGGCCGTAAATGACATGTACTGTCCCTGACCGTAGTTACAGCTCCACACGTCGGCGCTGCCGTGCACTTTGGCAGAGACCGACATGCTCAAAGACTGGCCCACCATCTCTTCTACATGTGAATGCAGGGCTGGCACTGCCTTTTTGGCGAAGAAAATGACGGCTTGGCACTCTCCACCGCGGCGCGGCACAAGCCATCATTTCTCGGAAAGGTGCTGAGTCCACCACTTGGAAAGGGAGGGACTGCAGCACCAGCAACTTGGACAGGAGGACGTTCAGCTTTTGCACCGTCGGGTGCGTGCTCGCAAACTGTTGTCTCTTGGAAACGGATTCCAAGAAAGACTGCTGACGGAATCCGTGAAGAGGAGTAGCAGGAGAAGGAGCATCTGAACGAGCGGAAGATGCCAACGAGCGACAACTCCCCTCAGCAGAGAGGTGTTGGAGCCTTGACTGGCTGATAGAGGGCGATTGACGTCGGGTGACGGAGCAAGTAACGGAGCGGGTGATGGAGCGGGGGCTGGGGCAGGCAGAAACCGCCGTATCTTTATCACGGTTTTCCCAGGCCACCAAATGGCGACGCTGCTGCATATGCTGACGCAACGCTGTAGTCCCAACATGGGCCCCCTGGCCACGCTTGACTTTCTGGCCACATAGTCGACATACGGCTACGTTTACTTCCTCGGGCGGCTTGACGAAAAAATTGCCACACCGCCGAGTAGGAAACTTTGCCCCCGCTATACTCCTCACTGGCTGACTGCTACTTCCTCCGTGCACACCGGCACCACTACTACTGGCCGTGGTGGTAGGCTGCAGTGGAGCTGGTGCTCTACTCCGTGGCCGTTTGCCTTGCCCACTGACACTGCTGCGACCCTGCTGCCTCCTGGGCAACCCACCGACTGTTTTGCTCGCTGCCAAGCTGGCCACCCTCTTCTCCTGATGATGCGGAAGCAATAGCCTGATGACGACGAGGCTGCCAAGTGCGATCAGCCTCATCATCATCAATTAGGGTCTCTCCGCCTCACTACTACTAGCCCCCTCGGCTGCGTGTGGGTCAGGAGACAGACCTGTCTCTAGACCGGCTACCGAGCCACTCTCCTCGCCAGTACTTCTTCGCCTGGCTGCTGAAGAGGCGGATGTCTCCCCCCGTTCCTGACCGCCCTCTGTTAGCTCTTCCTCACTGTACAGTGGGGCTGAGCCCACAGCATGCGATACTTCGCTTGGTGAGGGAACACCAAAGGACAGGGGCAGGTAGAGGGACACGTGATTTCAGTGGGCTTGCTCCCGGGCCATGCCAACTAACGGTTGTGTCTGACGTACCCACCGACCGTTGGCTGTAGGTGTCAGAGGTGACCTGGGAAGAGGAAGACGACCGACCGAGCCAACCAATCGATGACGGCAGGGTTGTCGGTGGAGACACGACCGCTGGATGACACCGGGAGCACTGGCCTCTGGCTGCGACTAGTGCTGCCTCGACCCCTTCCTCTGCTGCCACGTCTGCTCGCTCGCTCCTAAAACATTGCCTCCTCTGCCACTCCTCTGCATGTTGTCTGACATACTCTTTAATTCAACGATTCTGTGTCCCTGAGTAACAATTCTGTGTCCCTGAGTAACAATTCTGTGTCTGTCCCTGAGTAACAATTCTGTGTCCCTGAGTAACAATTCTGTGTCCC